AATGAGTTGGCTGGGATCACCAGCAAGTCGTGGCTGACGTCCACGATAACACGCCTGCAATGGCTTGGGATCATTAGCCGCACGGAGAAGGTGCTTCTGCATGCTCTCTGAATCTACCAGAGACTTGCCTTCAAGCCCTCCTGCAAAGTGGAGATATCAGCCAGACCAAGATTTTTGGCCCGGTCAACCAGGAGCAGCGCCTGCAATCAGGCCAGTTCATCTGAGAGCACGGCAACAATCTGTTCCCTCCTGTGGCACGAAAACAGGCTAGACGGTAGTTTAGGACGCGTCGAAGAGCCCAAGATGAGACGTGGGAGGATATGTTCCATGTCCCAGAAACAATTCTCCAGAGGGTGTTGGGAAAGACCAGCTTCGGTCGGGAGCTGCTAAGAATATAATGTAATGATGATGGGTGTCTGGGAGGTTTCTTGCCAGCTCGTGGCATGAAATGTTGCTGGAAAGGATACTCAAGTGATTGCTCCAGCGCTTCCAAAGCAACAAAGAGGCTGGCCACTGTAGAGGCGGGCAGCGCTAACACAGGTTCCATTCGTTACACTTGGCTGATTTGTTGTTTGACACACAGCAAACCAGTTGTTGTTGCTGCACCCGCTGTTGTGGCTGCCCTGCATGGGTCACGGATGCAGCAAGAATTGAGTCCGGGTGCCGAAGTTCTGGCCATTTCTCAGGAAATGTGATCTGCCGAACGTGCTGCCAGCAGCTTCCCACCAAAAAAGCTCGTTCTGTTGGCCTGCTCCCAGAGGCCTTTTCGGCAGAATGCACCTGCAACATGGAACGAAAAGCTGCTGACCAACTGGTTGACCCCTGATACGCGTCTTGCAATGTCTGATACATGCTCTTCAGCAAGCGATTTTCCTGTGCCTATGAGCTGGTCGCAGGTGGATGTGTCAGGCTGCAGCGCACAGCCTTGGACAGCGGCGGAAGACTGGACAAGGCACGCAGCTCCCAGAGCAGCAGGGCGGCCTTTCATAGTGTCCAGGAGTAGCTTGCAAGGCGCCTGGCTCCCCAGGATACTGGCGGTTCAGTGGCTTTGTCAACCGCTCAATTGCAGCAGAGCTCGGGCAGACTGAGAATATGACGAGCTCCTGTGCCCGAGCACAGGCGGTGATGATTGCATTCAAAGTGGCAACCTCTGGACCTTGAACAAACATGGTAGCATGTTTAAGTTGCAAGCTCCTTTGTCCGTAAGGCGAAGAACTAGGAGGCTTTGCTTATGAAGGTGCTGGGTTGGCGGCTCAGGTCCGAAAGCTGCATCTTCTCCAGCAGGCTCAGGGTCTGCCAGTGCTTGGATTTTCTCTTCCGGGGAGAGCAAAGCAGACTGAAATGCAGTGCCTTTCAAGCTTTCTAAGGCACAGGCCATCTGCCACTTGCCTGCAACTCAAAGCAAATGGATATGGTGCTCAAGCAGCGGAAAACAGCTGCATCTTTTGCTAAGTGCCGAACCCCAAGGGCCCCCACCATTCCACGGAAGGTTCTTCCGCATGTGCTGGTCCGCAAGAATCTCGGGATTGTGGATCCGCAAGGCATGCATGTGCAACCCATGAGTCTGATGAGGCTGCGAGGCCAGGGACGTCTTGATCTCCCCCACTACCTACCCCCATCCTTCTGGCTGGGACGACCTAACCCCACAAGCCATAACCTCTGCATAGCCCTTGTAGCCTTGACACGACGCCAAGGCGGCCCAATATGCTGAGCTGCTTGCATCGTTGAAGCCAGTCTGCGTCGCTGCACCCGCCCGACTGCCCAAGCTGGGAGTCTTCTCAGGTCCTGCACTTCGAGAATCGACCTTGGCAGGGGGAAAAGGCTGGTTCTTTCTCAATTCCAACAGCTTGGCGCCGCACCACAACAGGCGGAAAATTCAGCCTCATGAGAAAAGCGCAAGCAAGAAACTTGCACTTGTCCTGAAGCTTCTCTCCGCTCATGAAAAGGGCGGAACTTTGGGTTGCGAGGCTCCTGAGCTGGTGCCGCCGTCCTCGCCCTCTTCACCTCGTGATGAGTACAGAACACACTGGCAAGACAGTCATGTGCTGAAGTGCATTCCTGGCACACCCTAGCCGGCAAGAGTCAACCGTGAGCTCAACACATTTAACTGTGAGATCTCCTTCTTCTCCTGCTGGGTTTTGCCCTGATGCGCCTGGCTGCTGAATGTCTCATGTCCATCTGCAGGGCCATTTTGCAGCTTGCTTGCCTCACAGACATGTCTCTAATGAAGCACTCGCCTCTTCTTGCGCAGCGGCAATAGCCTGGCGAACCCTCTCTCAGCAAACAGACGGACTGTCTATCCTAAACCAGCTGCGGCCTGGATAACTGCGTTCAGGTCGGCCACGGATGGAACAAAGCCCTGGGCCTCTGCAGTGCATAATATGAGCCAACGAGCACGCCCAAAACTTGTGCAAACGGGAAGGGGAAAGTCGACTCGTGGGCGCGGAACAAGTAGATTTGCACTCAGCCTGCCTTTCCTGAACCAAGCCAACGCAGCTGCAGACAGAAGTTGTTGTAAGATTCCAAATGTGTTTCTCTGCTACAGATTAGCGAAAACATGCTGCAAAATCCCAAAACATCTATTCTAGACGTGTCCCCTCTACCCCAGAAAATCCTCCACCATGGCGTCTAGGCCTGATATGCTTCATAAGGCTGCCAGATTGTGCCGGAGTCTGTGGATCCCCGACAAACCCCCCCTAACACAGTTGCTTGGCTTCTAAGCCCAAGGCAACATGCAGGGAGGCAGGAAGTGGGAAGAGGGAAATGACTTTGGAATTGATGCACAGATGTCCTTCCGTTCGGATGGCTCCGGATCAAGCTCTACAGGGCCCTGCACACCTCACGTCTCCAAGATGCTTTTTACCCGCCTCCATGTCAGACAGCAAGAAGACTGCTGCTGCCTGAAAGCTGTGACTGGAGCTGAAACACTTCAAGGACGAGTCGGTAGCAAGGCTCTGGCCCAAAGACGGGCAGTACACATGCCCAAACCTGTTCGGTACAGGCGCACATCTGGCCCCACACCTCAGCAAGCTTTTCCTGTTGCCCCACATTTTTGTTGAAGACACGGTGGCTTGAATAATGGGCATGGCCAATTCTAGATCAACTTGTGACCGCACAGCCTTCTGCAGCCTGCTTGTGGTTGACTCCTGAGCCAGCGCACCCCACTGGTTAATGGCCAGCCACAGGAGGCGCAGGGCCTTGACAGGAGGCGTTCCCCTTTTTGTAACCAATGTCGCGTAATGTGAGGGTTGTCTGCAACTTTATGCCATGTGGGGATTCACAGCCGCGTTCTCTTGCTCTGCTACCGGGATTTAGGTGAAGGAAGGTCCTGTTCGCTTTTATCGCACTTGGGAGGTTTCTTCTGATGCTTGCTTGGCAGGAACTCTGACATGCGACGTGTCTTGACCTTCCCTGCATGTCTCCGTACTTGGGTTTCGCAGGGATACTGGGTCCACGGTCGGGGAATAGGTTGTGGGCCTAGGCCTGAAGGAATGCAGCGCGTACTTTGTAAGCTACATTAGTGAATGCCTGAATACAATTATCTGCAATTTCGAGTCGGTCTTGTCATGTCCAATTGTAAAACGGGAAGGCCCAAATCGACAATTAAGATCTCAACCCCGACGACCCTCCACTGCGCAGATGCTTTGTTAACAGAGGCCGCCGCTGCTGCGCCTCCTGCTGCTGCTGCTGCTGCTGCTGCTGTGCTTGAAAAAACAAATCCAGACACTACCAAACGACGACAACAGCTCCCAAGGAAAAATGGAATCCTTGAGGCTGACCACAAAGGTTTTCTGAAATCTTGCAGCATAACAGGGCCGACAAGACCACTGGAGCAGACATGGGTTCGCGTCCTATTTTGGAACTTCTGCCTGGGGGACTACAGCAAGAGAACTTGTGCGACCAAGAAACCCCCACGTACAAATTTGCAAAGCAAGCATGCATGCTGCACAGCAGCAGCGGCTCAAAGAATTCATGCCGCTTCTGCAATGTTTGTTGTAGGTCTGGGAATAACGGTGACTTCCTCAGGCATATGCCAATGGGTGAAGTTGCACAAGTCAAATCACAGGGAAACGTTCCCAAGGCCTTTACACTCAGGTCACAGGTGCGTGCATGTCCACACGCAAACTTTACAAGGGAAACGTTCCCAACGCCTTTACACTCGACCTATCTTGTTGAAATATTGACCCAGGGTTCTCATTGTGATGCATTACGCGAGCCTGAACAGATCGTCTGGGGTCGATGACCTCAGCACTGTTGGCTTGAGACAGAGGCGTCGCCAGCAAGCGGCTTTCGAATGCAAAGCCTCGGGGCCAGGCCTCATCTCCCGCCAACTGGTTGCGACCTCAGGCGACTTGCAAATAGGCACGTGCACATGTATCAAGGCATGTTGTAACAGGTAACTCGTCCTCTTTCGAGCCGCGCCATGCTTGTCTCGATCCCACGCATTGCGGGGCCAAATGCGATGGCGGATGTTCATAAGAGGTGATGACCGGGCTCTATGCTATCATCACACATCTTCAGCAGCTCTTCATACCCACCCAGGCTCAACTCCGTCACACCATCCGTGCTTCTATGGCACGGCCCAAGCCACTTCATGTTAAATTTCACATCAGTGACACCGTCATCGCAAAGTATGGCACGCGAAAATTCCGCAGCATGCGATATCCTCGCAATGCTCACGGACGAGATCCGGAATGTACAGCACGCGATATTCGCGCAGCATGCGATATCCTCGCAATGCTGACTAATTGGATCCCTCATTAATTTCCCGCATCCCGCTGCCATTTGCAACACATACTGCACTTGCACTACTGCCTGCATAGCAGTCCAACCAAAAGAAGCGACCTGCCTATGTTGTGCCAGTTATGAAACCGTGTGCAGTCCCATGTCTCGGGCTGTTCATCTCGGGATACGGTTCTCTCAACCTATGGCTTAGCCAGATGTAAAGAGTACCGCTACATGCTTACAAGTTGGTAGCAGCACAGGGCTGCATAATGCCCTCAACTATGTTTTTCTAGCTTGGCAGGCCTGGATTGACTCTGCGCTTGCGGAGGGCCATAGCCGAAGAAGTCATCCAGGTAGCAAAAGAACTGATGAAAGCAACAATCTCTTCTCTGGTGATGAAACTCGTGACGGTATGCTCCCCCATAGATCTTCGGGAGAATTCTGTGCATAGACCAGGGAAGGTCCAAGCCAGAATGTGCCTCAGAAAGAAGATATGTCACCAGGATGTTGTGGAGAAGCCGGCTGAACTTGTGCTTGGGCAGGCCTCTGAAAAGAGGCAGATTCTGAACCAAGATGTTGGTCATCACTTGCATAAAGGCATCTTCCATGGACTGGTTCACCACGAGTTCCACCCCCAAGAAGCTGGTTCCACAAACAGGATGCACTTTGAGCTCATGATGGGTTTCATGCTTGTGCCATGAGTTGGGGAACTTGTGCATCGCAAGGTGAATCCAGTAGAAGATGAAATCGTATGCAACAATGCCAAGCCCGAGCTCAATGAAAAGCCGAAAGGCTGTGGGGTCATCACTCTGCACATTCGGGGCAGATTTAATGCAGTGAAGCAACCACACTCCTCCGACATAGATCGGCAAGGAGGCATAGACTCTGCTGTAAGTCTTTGAGGTCACACAATGAGAATTAATTGGATGCGACTCCGCACGGACGACCATTCGGAAAGGTTTGACCCAAGGAATTTCGTTCAGAATGAAGAACCAAGAAATCCAGGCAAAGAACGCAAATGCAGCAACTACTGCTTCGATCATCGCCCAGTGAACCGCTGGCCAGGTGTAGGCTTCCCGCCAAGCTGATGCCACTACCGAATCCATGTCAACTACGCCCATGCCATGTAGCAAGCCCAGCGTAGGAACAAAGGCCTGGCAAAGTCTGGTCACTGCTTTGGACCAGCAGCCGTGCGCCTCATCTGCCAGTCTAATAGTGCTGTGCCATGACTTCTGCGGCACCCATGCTGGGTTTAGCCCCATCGCCCAACAAAACCCCGCAGAGTGGAAAATTGGAGAAAAACGACCTTTGGTCGCCTCGGCTCCCTGTTGACTGAAGCTGGGTGCAGCGGCAGGCATTATCCGTTCAACAGATTCCTTCAGAAAAGTGGCTACTGTAATCAGAGTGATCATGCAACACCGTTGGCACCAGCCTCCGCCACAGGCTGACATGACCTCTGCCAAGAGCTCTGTGGCCTTGTGTCGGTGGCTGTGAGTGGGGGTTCTCAACATGGGATACTCTACGGACCACAATTAGCTGTAGGGATCCCCTCTGACTGATTAAGGTCCTAAGGACAATCTCACTAGCTCATACATATATATATATACATATGTATTCTACCTTTGCTGCCAATGCTATAGCTTGTTTTGTTCTGTACGGTTCAGGTTGTGGGGCTTCTGCTAACGAAGAAACGCAGCTCCACAACGTACGTGTTGCTCATTGATATCTGCAAGGCCTCGAAGTCCTTACATCCTACACAGGTGGAGTTCCACTTCCTGCCACTGGGCTTCAGGCCACCTCGGCTTGCTGCGCGCGTGCGCAAAGCTCCACCTCAGAATGAGTCAAAACCTTGTCCCTGACCACAAAACGTCTCAAGCGAACAGAATAAATTGCATACAGTAAGCAGCAACACTCTGTTTTCGACGGGATTGCGAGATTTTGCCTGCTTGATCGCAGCCACCAGGCGCTTCACTCCTTCAGTCAGCTGCTCGTTCCTTAGCCTGGCAAAGCAGAGGCGAATGCAGTTCTTGTTGCTCTTGTTGTCGCCGTCTTCCACAGTTGTGAACAAGTGTCCTGGCTTGGCCACAAAGCCAAAAGTGTCAGGATTAGACGCCAAGCGCTCTGCATCCACGTGCATTGGGAGCTCTACCCACACAAAATAACCACCTTCAGGGCTGGTTGCACTGCAGTCTTCTGGAAGCGTATCCCTCAAAGCATCCACCAAACACTTGCATCGTTCCTGATATACTTTGCGTAAGTGTCCCAGGTGAGTGTCCAAAGCGCGGGACATCATTGTTGTAGCAACGACGCAGGAAGCAAAATGGCTCAAATGGCCACCGCTGTCAATGACTCCCCAGGCACTTAATCGCTTTAACTGCTCTGGAGAGCCTTCTATCCATCCCACCCGCAGTCCAGGTGCAAGAATCTTCGAGAAACTGCCCACAGAAAGCACATTCTCACCCAGGGTGGCCATGGATGGCGGTGGGGATGTACCGTATGTGAGCAGCGTGTACACCTCATCAGCAACTATCAGAATGCCGTGCTCTTTGGCAACAGAGACAATAGCTTTACGACGTTCCTCGGGCATACTACGTCCTGTCGGATTGTGATGAACTGGAATGGTGTACAGCATTGCTACCTTTCGACAGCTCAATGTGAGCTGCTGAAGAACGTTCACCAGGGACTGGACCACCATACCTTGCCCGTCACTGTCTACTCCAACGACCTGCAAGCCATGATTCTTGAATATGGCCGGAGCGAGGAAGTAGGTGGGATTCTCCACAAGCACAACATCCCCTTTCTCGGCGCACATTGTACTCACCATGTCAAGCCCCTGAGAGACGCCGGCCGTCAGCAAGATTCGGGCAGGATCCGGGCCCTTTCCATGCCGTGATTCGTCCTGCCGCCCCAAAAAGTCTGAGAGCTGCTGTCGAAAGTTCCCCGTAAAGTCGCCGTACTCCAAGGGACCCTCGCTTTGAACTTGAAAAAAAGTCTGCACTCCGCCAGCTGGAGAAAAAGACCAAAAGAAGCTTATGGGAAGGATTGGCCGAGAGGCTGAGCTGGAGCAGCTTGCCGCATTTGCCACACTGCTAGAGCCGAGCTTTCGACGCTTGCTGTCCTGTGGTAGCTCAACGTTGTCGGCAAAGAGCTCTTGGCAAGCCTCTGGCTTTGCGTACAATGCACAATGCGAACACACGACGCGTCTCCATGCAAGGGCAGGGCTCTGGAGGGCGATTTCTGCTGCTACATCTTTAGAGCAGGATGCGCCTGTCGCACAATAATGTTTGGTAGCTCCTCAGCAGCCGGCTGCCCATTGCCAAAATCGATGACATCCTCCATGGCGCTGAGTTCACACGAAGTCTACCCAGGCTCTGCTCTCCACACCTTGAGCCCCATCACTCAGAACCAGCCACTTTAGAGCTGACAGAGCACATGAACCCTAGGAACTAAAGGCGGCGGGATTATGTAGCCTCATCGATTTTTCTTGCATGATGCAAGCTTCGCACAAGGCCGGCTCAAGCCTGGCTGCCTGCATCTTTGGCTGTCACGGATGAACCTTCCATCAGCGGCTTGCAAGCACTTTCGGCAGGGTTGCAGAGAAACACGATGACCTGGGCACCACTTCAGCTATTTCAGCTTGAGTAAACGTGCTCAAGCCCTGATCTTGGTGAAGGGAGCACTGAGCACTGCTAAGGGGAGCACACCTCCAACGAGCGAGGTGCAGCCGAGCAATTGTAGCCAGGTGAAGGCTGGAAGTGAAGAGAGGCACTGAGCCGATACCTGCATTTGTTGAAATTCGCGTTGACCCAAGGCTGCACTCTTTCCGGCGTCCTTGAGCGTGATGATCGCCATGGAATGCATCACCACCCTTGACAACGAAAGCGCCGCAGTCCGGAGAGTCGTAGGGAAAGCCTTCTAAAGGCACATGCAAAAGAGTTGGAGGTCTTCTTCCAAGCACAGTGCGATCAAGCAACCTCCAAGACCCACATGATGGCTCCCTGACAGGCACACTGCTCTTGGCTTCGTGATTGAGGTCGCACAAGATGATATCGAAACCTGCCTCCCATGCAAATCCGCGGCACGAGGCTGAGACCCTGACTGTGACGTCTAAGCACGAAAGGAAACCAAATTCAAGATCTTACCCTTGCTCAATAAACTCGGGCCAGCAGGTTGCTCTATCCAACTGCCAACTGTCATGCAAGGCGAGCATCGCACCCAGGATGGACTGCAGGTAGAGACGGGCAGCATCATTCAAGACATGAGTTCCTGTCACACTATCTTCCACACATGCCTTTCAACGAATCTGCAATGCAAGCGCCTGCCAGGCCGAGGAGCAGAGTCCCTTGAAAAAAGAAACCTCCACAGGCTCAGTGCGCTTCCGCATGCAGCATAAGATTCTATTCAACACCTGACACCCCAACATCCCACCACGAAAGCCTACAGCAAAGCTTCCCCGTCTGCCAATGAAGTCAACCACAAGGACTGAGACAACCTCAGAGCAACCGATTGGGTGCGCACACAACTTGTAGAAGCCGGATACCTTTCAGCAGTCCTCAGGGCCCGTCCAGCCCACAAAAGTCTCCCACATTGAAGATCATGAGGAGGGCTCGAGGCAAAGCCTGGAAGTCCCCTTCTGGCCATGTGCTGGTGTACACTGACATCCAAAGAAGACATGTTCACGCACAGCGGGTAGGACCGGCAAACAGAGCACTGCTTCAGCCAAGCCACATTGTCATCTGGAAACATAAGATTCTGAAAGAGCATCGGCCCCCAAGTGTCAATCATGATGGTGGTCATTGACAGGAGGGAGAAGAGGATCCTGATATTGGCATGCACTTGCGGACTTGGGGAACTCCTCAACATCTACGCCGCGCCCCATTGCCATAAATTCAAGCCCCTCCCAAACACTGCACAAACAAATTTTCCCCATCTATCTGTGATAAAGCCCAATGAAAGGAGTCCTCACCAGGCAGCCACAGAAAGTGCAAACAGTCTGCAAGCAATCCAAGGTGGTTGAGGGTTGCTGGGGCCTTACAGGCAGAGCTCTTACATCCACGTTTGGCTGCAGCCATGGAGCAAGCAGAAGCGGATCTTGGGCAGGAACTCCCCGTTGAAAAGCTCCTGCCAACTCCTGCAGCTGCCCAGAAAAAGGAGCTTCGGGAGGACGTGAGATAGAGTCTTGCAATGTCTTGCAGTGTGAGGCCAGCCTCTCATCAGTTGAGGACGCTGTGGCAATACGAAGCCGGCAGTCAGACGACCATTGTTTACCATTCCTTCTGTGCAGGTCTGCTAGCACAGCTTTGGCCTGCCAGGACAACTTCAGCCACCAACCACGCTAAGCTTGCTAACGTTGCATAGAAACAATATGGGCAGAGTACCTCTTCAATCCTGCCCGTGGCCACCAGATAGCGGGGTGATTCATATATCAGGCATGTGCCAAGAAGCAACACTCCCATGGACACTGCTGATAGCAGCTGCATCTTTTGCCAGTTGTTATCAAAGACGTCGGAGCTCACAATGACGGCGCCGCGCCCTGGACAAATCCATGCAAGGAAACAAGGGTGCGCAACTGACGGTGGAGCTGCACTATGCTCACACTTCACTTCTGCCGGGTCCTACAGGCCATCCCAGTGTAATCGCAGCCAGCATCGCCCCACGAGCAGCTGTCGGAAGGAACCTTGGCAGGGCAAACAACTCCGTTAATCTGCCTGGCCAGCGATCTGCTGATGGCTTTCGAGTGGCTCAACATACCACGGGCCCAGAGCAGAATAGGCAATGCCCCAGCTCGCAGAACCAAGCGTTCGAAGAACTAGTATCCTGGGCCGGCATATACACCAGCAAGCAAGGTTCTGAGCATGGTCAAGTCCCCATATAAACTGACTCAAGAAACTGCCGGTTTGGCATCATCATAAAACTTGTAATCAAGCTGTTCCCGGCAGCATATTGAAAGAGGTTGCGGAAGCAGAAGCATAATTCAGCAACGTGGTCACAGCGGTGGCAAACACCAGTGTGGGCTTTCGTCCGAGCTTATCAGCCAATACTGGCGCGAGCAGAGCTCCAAACGCGCAGCCAGCTTGGTATGCAGCAGCATAGGTGGAGAGCTCATCCTTGTCTGCACCTCATGCATTCAGCAGCTGTCACATAGACAAAGCATGCGAAGCTGCTGTCCTTGCACCTTCGACTCAGGTGCTCACCAAACTGCATCTGTAGCCCTGGGAACATGTATGGCGTCATCTCGGAGTGTATAGCAAAGATTGCCACAGCCGTGGTTGTCCACAGAATGTGGCCAATATGGAAAGAGCCAAAGGGCAACTCATCTAAAACCTGGCCAATGGTCAAAGATGATCCATCGCAGGAGTTGTAGCCCTTGTGCATGGACCTGCGCAACTCACTGGATTGAAATTTCCGGCAGGCAAGGCTGACGCTAGAAGTGGCCTGATGTAAGGAAAGAGCCGGCCAGCCGCAAGGGGCCATGGCCCAGCTTGAGCCGCGGCTGCCAAGATCTGATAGTAATTAGTTGAAACCGATAAATCCAAGCCTGCAGCCCTGAACGCCTTAAGGATTCTGTGGGGATTGTTCTGAGGAATTCCTATGTGTCGCGGGCAAAACTTCCCAGGAGCATTGCAGGGCAACATGAGGTCCTTTGTTCAAGGAGACCGGCTTTTTTTCGAGGGGCGACACTCATCCACGACGCGACGAGCCTTTTGCGCGAATGAAGTCAAGGGTTTCCTCCTTCGTCGCATTCCAGGATGCGGGCATTTCCTCAACCAGGAAATGGTACTTGGGTGAGAAATGGAGGAGGTAGATGATCTTTTGAATTTCATCTCTTTTGAAATTATCCTGGTCTTCCTTGATGTAAGTCAAGCAGGAGGCGGTGATTTCGCCAAAGTCTTGACCTGCAGCTGGCCTATCCTCAAGAACCTCCCCATGTATACAGCCCAGGAAGTAGAGGAGAAAGTCCTTGCGGCCCATGTCCGACAGTGTGAGGCGGAGGATGCCAGCCACACGGCTTAGGGTCTGCTGTTCTTCTGGGAGTGCTTGAGCAAGGCGTGCAAACTCACCGGGCCCAAACTCTGCCGCCGCACCGCGAATTAGCGGCAGCAGGGAGTCCTTGACCATGTCCCAAGCTTCAGGTCCACAGCGACGGTAGACCCAGACAAGCCTTGCCATGTAGCCCGGGGTCAAGTCCTTGACTTTGTGAGGAGTAGAGACATCCTCTGCCACCCGCTTCATGAGGCCTGCATGGTTGATCTTCATCTGTGCTAGAGCCCACACGTTGTTGATTGAATGGAGCAAGGACACATCTTGGTAGCGCTTCTCGATCTCTGGCACCAAGGTCATGAGAATGTCCATATCTGCTGCAGCCTCAGTGGACTGCGCCATGGAAACCAACATCTCCGAAAGCTCTACGCCTTCGTAGGTTGCAAGAAGCTCTTTTAATCTGGGGATGACCTTGGACAGAAGCTCATGGTGCTTCGATGCTCGCTTGTTGTAGATTCGAACAATTCCCATGAAGTTCAAGGCTGTGAAGTCATCAATCTTCTCGTAGATTTTCTTTTCCAGCTCCTCAAACAGCTCGTCATCGTCTGGTGTCATTATCCACATGGGGCCCAGGGCGTCCACCACGTCGATGGCCTCAAAGCCCTTCATGCGGAACTTGATCGTGTCTGACAGCTTTTGGCAAAGAGCTCTCTGCCTCACTTCTTGCATAGAATAGACCCTGGCAATCTGAGTGAGCTCAGCAGGGGTGTAGACATGAATGTTTTCGAGCAACTGACTCTCAAGGTGAGGCATCAACGTATTTTCGATAAAGTCTTCTGGGAGCCGCTTTGAAAGAACCACTGACTTCGGCGTGCTCTCATCGCCTTCGCCTTGCTCTTGCGCGAAGCTCCGCACCCATGGTCTGTACAGCCCAGGGGATCTCCGACCTGTCCGACCTGCCTGAAGGACAGCCTTTGTTTGCCATGCAGCCCGGCCCGTCAGCCGCGATAGGCCGCTGAGCATTGCACAGTCTTCACACGGCGCACGCGCAAGTGGTAAGCAATGTGACTGTTCTGCACTGCACTGCACTGCACTGCAACACTGCATGTCAACTGCTACAGAATGCATTTGAACATGAAAGCTTTCAACGAAAGACCCTCGCAACAACATGATTGACCCGACTGCTTGGAGCAAAAGGTGTTGTGCACTCTGTTAGGTAGCAAACACACGGCACTTGCCTGCACAAGGCAGCTCAGGATCGCACCACCGTTGGAAATAGGTCTGGTGGCGACTCTGCCTTGTTAGGCGTTGGTCGCTGCTAGACTGCTAGACTGTCAGACTGCGACTACCACGCAGCTTCGAAAGTTGCTCACCCTGGCCTCCCGGAAGAGGCGCACAGCCTTGACCAAGGAAGGATGAGCACTGCAATTGCAGGGCCCGTACCCCATCCAGGGCTGCGGCTTCGTCCCAAGCAAGACCTTCAGCATAGGCTGCCAGCGCTGCTTGGGACATGCCCAGGTCAGACCTCACGCTTTGACATGATTTGACCCTCACTCCTTGCTAGTTTTCCAGAGTTGAGGTGGCAGCTTGACTTTTTTTCTCCTGGCCTCTTCTAGCAGCAGACTGACCTGCAAAGCCAATACAGCCCCAGCTTCTGGGCGCACTTGCGGAGCAGAGTTGCTCTACCTGCAACCACTGTGCAGCGCTGCCGCATGCGAGAACCGCTGCGGTGAACGTCTCCGTGTTGAGAGCCTGACGGGCAAACAAAGGCTCATGATCATGCATCTTTGCAGCACGAGGCCCGAACAGCCCTCGGATCCAGCTGGCACATGTCGACGAGGAGCTCCAAGGCTTCCTGCGACTCCAGTGATGGGCCACTGAATCATGATGTACGACTGCACGGCCAAGGCAAAAACAAGTCGACTATGCTGACTGCATCTAGTGACGGACCCTCACGGCCACTGCACGTCTTCTGACATCTCCAGACAACTGCGCTTGATCATGGCCAAATACAACGAATGCTTTGGAGCCGCAACTCTCATCCGTCCACACAACATGTCCTGCCAGTTGCTGGCATCGCCCAGAGATTGAATGACTTGCGCATACCTTACTAATACGAGAGGCTACCCTTCATCTTGACAAGGCATCACTGCTGTTGACAACAGCTTTGGGGCCCTCACGGTGCCTCGCGCGGGACTGCGAAGGAGCGGCACATGCCTGGTCAGCCAAATTAGCTGCTGCAATCCAAAACTGCATGAACCATTTCGTGTACAGGGCCTGCCACCCCCAGTGCAATGCACAACAACGCAACCTTAAGGTCCAGCCATGAAGCAAAAAACATCCCGCCAGCTCTGTGGCGGTGGTGCAGCTGATATCTTGCACCGCACTTGAGGCTGCTACTTGGCAGCGCAGCTTCCAGTTGTACGTCCTCCTTCGGACACGCACTGGATATGTTGGCTACATGCCGGTTGCAATGCTCAGCCTTTGCTTCCAAAGGCCCCACATTCACCTCAACCAGGATCGGGACTCTAGATGCAAAAACTGCAAAACGCGCGGCTGAAGTGCAGCCCAGCCGCTGCAAGCAACACCATGGGAGGCCGCTGCAGAACGAGGCAAGACATGTGGTCTCAAGGTGATTAGCAGCTGCAAGTCTTCGGAGCTGATTGTTGAAGATAGCCCTCTTGGTGGCTGGAACAAGTTGGAGGATGGGTCAGGTATATTGTGGTTTGGTGAGATCATGATGCAGGAGTTGAGAGTTGTGCAACCTGGAAGTGTAACTTCTCTCACGAGTGCCTCCAGCCTGCGTTACATTATCGGCATAGGTTTTGGGCGGCTAACGTGTAAAGCCACGTCTTGGATCTCTCCAGCAGAATGCTTTTGGGGTGCTATCAGGCAAGGAAGAGCTCAATCAGCTTTGCTGGCGGCGTGCCACTGTGGAGTCAGCAAGAGGTGCTTCAAGCGTCAAACATGCCCACACTAGTTCAGCACAAAACTCAGCTGGACCCAGCTAGTTTGGCGAACAGCAAGGAGCAATTCCAGCACAGGGAACCCCAGACCTCTTCAAGGACCAGGGCAGCCCACAAAGCTCGACCCGAGTTTGCGGGTCGCTTGCTGCTCGGGGGGGACTAAACCTTGATGCGACTGTTGCTGGTACAGAGTCATAAAGGGTCCGGTCCAGGCAGGAGCTGTTCACAAAACAGGAAAGTTTGGATTCAGAAATCATCTGCCACTGCCTGGAGGTTGTCCCTTAAGCACTTAGACGGCACGCCGGAGAGGCGCGCTGCACGGACTGACCCGAAGTGGACTCTTGAGCATTTAGTCACCAAGTTTGGGCCCTGCCTTCTCTACCCACGTCTCTTCCTTGAAGCTTTGCACTTGTTCATGAGAACTCTCCGCGACCCAGTAGCTCACTGCTCATAAATGGTCAGGATGACTTATTCGTTGGCCAGAGCCAGTTCACGAACTCTTCTACATCGATAGATCCATCCTCGAGACATTGACAGGGCAAGCGGACGGGACCAAGCCTATACAACAAGCTGCCGTGTCCTTGTTGATGTCTGCTTGCGAGAAAAGACGGCGCGTGTTTTCCAGTGACATCTTCGGATTCAAGGTCTTTAGAACCGTCGTCATCTCTTCCTCGCTTATCTTCCCATCACGATTTGCATCCTTAAAGACAGCTGGGCAGAACACCACACACCAAAGCAAGAGTTTAAGGACATTTGGTAGATACGTGCCTCACACCGTGGAACTGCAAACAAGAATGTCAGGCGATGCTGTTCAACTTTTAGCTTAATTTGGCTACGACCTGCACATTTGGATTGCAGAGCTGCATGCTGGCATACCGAAGCCCCAACTGTCTCGTTTCTGATTCACGCTGCTTTGACGAAAGGCAAACATGTTGGAGTGACTAATACAGTGAAGACTCCCACTCCACAAGGGCCTTCTGGACTTTGCCAATGATGCTGGTGCTGGCCGGACTTGTCTGCTCCTTGGCCAACACGCATATCCTTACTTTTGGGCACTGCGGTCATTCCCTTGGGAGCCGGCCCCGGCAATCATTCGGCGCAGCTGCTTGACGGTCTGAAGTCATTTCACAGCTCTCGGCAGCTGGGCTCCTGGGCTCCCGGCCTCCTCTTCGCTGATGCCGACACGGCCGAAGCATTTCGGGTTGTGGCCTATACCAGCCACCGGGAAGTACACGTCCCGCTCATCCTGCTGCGGCCACCCTGACCTCTCCATTGCCGGCTTTTCCACTCTGAGGGCCGAGCATCCAACTGGGATGCCTCACTGAACTTGTAGATGAAGCAGCCATTCGGAGGAGCCTCCACCAACCCCGCATGACGAAACCATTGCTACTCCTACCTCGGGTGCACCTGCCAGGAGTCGCCCCCCAGCACTTCCTGCAACACGTTGCTCCAAGTAGCTGTAAGGTAGTGTTGCTACAAGTTGCCTAACTACGAGGACACATCCAACGGATGACACGCTGAATGAATATCTCACCAGCACTATTCGAGACTCCACTCTGTATAAAGGATGGGGCTCACCATTCCTCTACCACCCGCACACATGCCAGTGGCTGTTGGCTGATTCCAGGTCAGTTCACCGGAAGAAAAAGAAGCCTGATGTGTCACATACCTCTACGCTTGTTGCTTCCACCATGGTCGTGGAACCCTTTGCCATGGGATTGGGCGGCTAAGTGTGAGCCGCTCAGTAGCTGCATCAAAAGCTGAGTTAGATGACTTGGCAGTTCATGATGTGAGCTGATAACTTGAGGAGCCGATCACAAACATAGTTACCTGTACATTGCAAAAGTTCATCTTGACCTACATCGCCTTTTTTCTGGATTTCATTGTTCACACAGGCCTTGGCAGGGGGCTGCAACACCTCTCCCGGATTCACCCAGGCAAAGTAGCGCCCTCCTCAAGAGCATGCAGAGCACAAGCCAGAAGGATCCGGATGATCTGGGAACATGCGCGGGTCCTTTGTCAAGGATGTATGGCACAGTGACACGCACCCAGCGGCCCTCCAACGCTGCTGTATAGCGGGGATCCCAAGGTCGACCCTCCTCGAAGTTGAGACCATTCCCCAGGGAAATGGCACACCTTTGGCAAAGGTGAACTGCTCCGCAATGACAGGTTGACTTCGTGTGGCTTCTTACTTCCTCCGGGCTGCATTGCGACGACCCTGCCCCGCTTGTCAAAGTAAATATAGCCACCATACACGAAGAAGGCTGAGCTTGGGGTGGTGATCGAGAAATATGCCAATGCCTGCAAAAGCGCACTGCAGTTTGCGAGAGTCTTTGCCGAGACATGTGGTGAAAAAGCCTCAGTTCTGCGGAGCTTAGCAGCCGGTTTCGACAAGAGAGGCAGCGAAAGCAGACCTGCCTGCTCTGACCATTTGCCTCCACCAACAGGATAGGCCCAGCAGAACCTGATTGATGCCCAGCTTCCTCTGCTGGGTGCTTCGGCTCTTCTACAGGTGCAAAAGAATTCCTTGCAAATCCATCTTCAGAACTGAGGGATGGTGTAACCCAGCCAGTGCAAGGGCTGCACAGCAATCCTCTACCTCTCTTTGATCGCACCTAGGCTTTTGCGGCCGTGGAGCTCAGCCGCCTCTAGTGGAATGCCAAGATACTTCTTGGCCTGCATGACTCTACTTCATTGCGGAGTAGCTTCATAGAGACCAAGGATTCCCTGATGCCTCGTCTGACATGGTCACCGGCGTTGGCACGGCAATTGCTCCTGGCATGCGTGCGCAGGCGAGTTTACTGGTGTCCGACTGCCGCTAGATGCCTGTTGCAGACATTCCGTTGGCTTCCAGCTGACGGATCTCTTCCAAGGGAGCTTTTGCCTCCGCACACGAAGCACACCCTTTGTAAATGAATGCTTTTGGACTGAGGCTCCCCGAAAGGCACTGGACTGCTGCTCGACTCTGACCAGTGCTCAGCCTTGTATGTCTTCTTCGCCTCAACAACTTCAACTCACGGCATGAGTGCGGTGAGAACCCCTCTGGGCCGTCTAGCTTGAGGACAGCGACAGTCCCTAGATCATGCAGAGTTCTGGATGTTGCGGCTCCTTTTATACCGAGCCACACGATCGACAAAGAGAGCCAGCTTTCGAGCGCGGACCAAAGCGAAGGGGCCGAGCGTCTTTGGAAAGCCGTACTTTAGCATCTCCTGCATCCGAGACATGGCTAAGACAGAACGCTATCCAGTAAAAAAATGTGCTCGCGGTTGAGATTGAACTGGTACTGTAGCTCAGCCTGGATTAGAGCCGATTTCAGTTCAAGGCTACAGAACTTCGGAAATCTCCTTCCGCAAAACCAGCATCAGAATGAGTTGGGGCAGTCCCATCCCAAGGGGAGGCAGTGCCTTCTCAAGACACAGTATGTTTCTCTCCGCTTCACATAAAACCCTCCACTGACCGCTGATGGCTGAACAAGAAGAGTCCCTCAATCTTTCCATACCATGTTTCCTGGATGTTCCGGCCATTACAGAAAGTATTTCTTGCTGTGTTCTCTGACCAGCACCAGCCCAAGCCCAAAAACCTCAGGGCTCCTTTGTAAAACTAGGAAGCCTTGGTTCCGGGGCGACACTTCCACTTAGATAGCAAAATCCTGACCTGACCTGCATGACTGTCAAGACTTCAAGGTGCGATCAAATTACACAGGCACGTACAAAAGACCATAACTTACATAGCTGGTTCTGGGATTTGGGAAGAACATTGTGGCAGTCAGCAGTTAGCATACTGATCACACTGCAGGTCCTTCTCTGTGACTGGGTTTTCTGGGACGAAGCCTTGCAGTCTGTGGGAAGCACCGCAGAATCAAACAATCAATGCCAACAGTAGGCTGCAGTTCGCGGTGCAACCTTACCTCAGAGACAACGATCCTCACACTCCAAGCACAGAAATGCTTCGCAGGACAAGACATGTGCGATCCAACACGGCTCTTCTAGTCTACAATCTGCCCAGCCTGGCAAGAGCGCTGCAGTGGGAACCTCAAGCATACAGCAAAAACAGCTTGCAGGCCCAATGTCAATGACTTGGATCTGAGGATGTAGCCACTTTGACTCCTGCTGTTTTCAGCTTCTCACGGATCACTGCAGGATCGCTCAGGAAGCCGGTGCCAAACTGACAGGGCTCTCTTGTAAAGACAGATGATGGGCGAAGCCGACACTAGCGACACAGCTGACCTTTCCCATGCTTGGGAGGTGAGCTGCCCGCGAGGCATCCATCACCATGTGAACATTCCTGGGTTGAGCAGGCTTGCGACAAGGGGACTCTGCATATAGAGATGTTCAAAAGGTGAAATCCAAGGAACCGAAAGCCGGCAGAGACTCCGTTGAGCGCGGTATCTAGCACACAGAGGTCCATGGACAGCCTGATCCGGTTTCTAGCACATGTCACTCTGCAGCTGTAGTTCTCCCGAAGCCCTTATCTGCCAAGCAACCCGCACACAAAGATACGATTCCTCGGTGTTGGGAGTGGAGCGGTTGACTGCGGTGAGTGATGGCTTGCAAGCCCTAACCCGTGAAACAAGCGCCTCTGTGCCAAATACAGGCAAAGAGTCATCCCGCGGTGCCTGACCCAAGATTGTAGCGTCTCCCGTCGCAAGACAGACAGGATGTCTGGCGGTGCGTTGACGTCAGCAGCCTGTCTGAAATGCAAATCCCGTGGTTTATTTGCGAAGATGAAAAGCTTCGGAATCAGTCTGGGCACCTGATTTGAAGAATCCAGCAGGGCTGCTCCCGTCCAGTCTGCCAGGGTATACCCATGCAGTTTCCGCTCATTTGGTTCCTCTGCGTGTGAGAGGCGCTCCTTGCATCGACAAGTTACAAGGGAACAAAACTCAAGAGCGAACACATACAGCAACACATGGCTTCGCAGCTTCGCAAATGCAATCACGCCGCCCACGAGCTTGGCTCATCGGGATACCCAAATGAGCCAAAGGAGTCCACATCCTCATGGAAGCCTTTGAAAGCAATCTTTACCTGAGCGCAACCATCAGAGAAGCATGTGCAGCTTATGCGGATGAAGGATAGTTCTTCTATTCATCCGGGTTGCCTGGTCCCTGTACGGCGCATCGCCGCTGTACAGCGTTTGTATGCAAGTTGCAATGGGCTCATAGAAAAATGAGCCCATCGTGCCCTGCACACAGTGTGGAGGGAAAGGACCCTTCTGCGGTATAAATGAGCAGTGCTGCTTCGGGTGGTGATCTCCTCAGCTTCATCCGTCTCGCCAGAATGATGAGCGGCAGAAACAGCAAACTGAGAAAAAACACAGGCAAAAAATAGAGATCTTCCACACTGTCTCAGAAGTAGGATTTCGCTAGTTGCATACACTTATGCAAGCAGCCCTCCCCCAGTTTCTATGGTACAATGACCACAACACCTACAGCAAAACAGCCATGACCGGGACCACCGCAACTTTGCGCCGCAGTAAAACATAAAAGCCCCTTCTGAATTCTGCCAATGGGTGAGCTAGCCTCTGTTACTGTTCCACCCCCACTTACATACTCATATGATGAGCGATCCCAGTCGGCCCAGCTGCGTGTGAGAATCACCTCTCCGCCGCCTGAGATGTAAAGGCGAAACTGCATGAAAATAGCGTTGTGCCAGGCTTGGTAAGAACCAGAAACACGATGCCATCATGGGCTGCACAAACATATAAAGATCTTTGGACAAAAAAGGTGTTGGCCAGTGAAGCCAATTTTTCCTGAGGGCAAAACACTTTCCGCCTCAAACATTAAGGCTTTAGTGCGCTGAGTGAGTGAGTGAGTGAGTGAGTGTCGACCAGCACTTACGGCGCGGCCTGCCTCCCACGTCCCTCTCAACTTCGCAGGGGGGCTCCGCAGTCGTCATCGCCCCCCTCCATGACAAAGTTCAACTGGGGGGATCTAACTAATGCAGACAAGCATCGCCAGCAAACACCATCGAGCTGGGAATCACACAAAATCAAGAAAACATGGACGATATTGAGCAACAGCTCATGAAATGGCAGCTTAAGGAACGCATCGAATGCACGAACAAATGTAAAGAGGCAATGCGAGCTTTATGCATGGAGAACCCACCAGCTTCAAGCATCCACCATATACTGGACTCAAGCTTGTTGAATGGGTGGGCCAGTGCCGACGCAGCAAAACTCCAAGCACAGAGGGCCTAACCCAAACAGAAAACCCGTGAGCCAAGCTCAGAGGGTGCGCGCGTGCACCAGCGCCGAGGGCTAGCACGGTGCGGCTACCAGCAGCCATCAGCGGCCAACACACTAGATTCCCGAACGCACCCATGGTTTCACATCAATGTAGCAAGCATACACAACATAGGAGATCAACAGGTTGGTTGCAGAAGGCGCTCAGCCCACAACCAATGTAGCACGTGCACGCAACCAGAAGAACATCGCCACGTCAAATACTGTAGCAGGCTAGTTTACACACGAAATCATCAGGCCAGGTGCAGGGGGAGCTCAAATCTCCACTCATAACCATCCTAATAAATCCATCGATCAATGTAGCAAGCACACCCAGCCAGGACCTCATATCGTCACAACAACCAATGCAGCAAGCATAGCCAAAAGATCCGCATGCCAATTGCGGACGGGGCTTAAAAGCTCAACACACAGCCGGGCAGATAATGCGCACACGACCATGGCGTATGAAGCGCGACCAGTAATTCTAGATCACCGTGCCGTTGCAGGAGGAGCAGAAACGCTCCATGCACCAAGGGCGCAGTAGCACCCTTCCCCAAAATGCCACATCCATGGATGCAGACGCGGAGCATTCCACAAATAGGCACTGCCGCCCCAGCACAAGGGAGGGGGGAGAAAAGGGGTGCTTTTCGGGCACATAGCCCTTAGTGCCGCCGCCCTGTCCCATGAAGAGCCCCCCGCCCAGAAGAGTGTGCTAGGCCCGAGGGGGTTTTAGTGCGCTGCTTTGTTTTCGAACTGTCCTGCCGGGAAGCCAAGCAAACCCAAGACCAACCAAAACGAACAAGATATTTTTCCAGGAGAGCAGATGGTCCAAGAGAGAAAAGTTTTCCTCGGGAAAAGTTGGTTGCGACTGGTCAACACTACCTTGTACTAGCAAGTTGGCTATTGCTTTTTTCAAAATGAAAACTCATGATTCAGAAGTTGGTTTGCGAGATGAAAAACCGAGTTTTTCCTAGGAAATACTTGGTTGTTCCTAAAACCATCGTTTTCCTAGGAAATATCATCTTAACCCAGCGAACCCAACTTTTCCTTGAAACCAACTTCTCTTCCCCCAGCCATGTATTCTCCTGGCAACGTTGTTTTGTTTGGGGTCTACTTGTCATGTGTTCGAGCATAGGCTAACTATATCCTTTCAAGAAATGAGTTGGTTACTCTTGAAGTGTAATCCTCGAAGAGAGTGAGCAATAATCGAACCCACTCAGCCTTGTATCCTGAAATATCGAAAACTGAGGACCATGTCTGAAAGCAAATATGACACTATGGAAGCAGGAAATTGCATCTGTATTTACAATCCTTTCGCAGGGTTTTCAAAGCAGAAAACACCACAAGGTGGACAATGATGGCCAACATATATACATACATAGTCACCCCCCCCCCCCAATGATCCACCATGCTCTTCTTTCATGTTCTTGCTGTCTTATCAACCGAGCCAGGAAGGCATGTGAGCACTGGCCAAAAACACCTCTATTTATAGGGCTTTCTGCGTATCTATTATGTTCATGACTACTACGTCATACGGATCTTACGTACATCTGAATCTGAACCCACAAGATCCCAAAACGGAATGCGTTTCCGCACTTGGCTTCAGCAAAGTCATGCAACTATATAAGGTCTAGCAAGGTGCGATGCACGACTCATTTTCTTCTAGTGGAAACCCCTAGGATCCAAGATTCCAGGATTTCTGTAGTAGTTCTACTTGAATTCAATAAGGGATTTATTTCGACCGGAACCAGCCTAATTCATCTAAGTAAGTCGGTTAAGTCCATTGATTCACTTGTTTCATTTATTGGTATGAGTTCAAGTAATTCCATTACCTTGATTACTGCGCACAACAAATCAAAGCTTGCATCTGAAAATCTTACAAAACGCTGTAATGCACAAAAACAAGATTTTCATTGAAAACTCTGACCAAGTCCTGCAACACACACGAAATCCATATTTTCTTCCGAAAATCTCACCAACTGCTGAAGTGGGAAAAAATGCAACAAGTATCACACGAAACTCTGCAAGGCAAAAACAAACTCAATCTCTTTCTTGAAAATCTCACAAAACACAGTAATGCACCAAAAACAATGTTTCCACTTACAAACCTCACCAAGTGCTGTCATGCAAAAACAATAACAACAAAACCTCGCCAAATGCGGGAAAGCGCAGAAAGTTCAAAAATAATGATAGTAGAAAACCCTCGCCAAACGCTGCAATGCACAAATGTTCAAGAAATGAATGCCTCTTCAGCCAGAAGTCTTGAAACTTTGAATTTGTTGAACCTTTTTGTGCATTCCAGCATTAGTTAAGGCTTTTGATTTGTGAGCTGTTTATGCATAACTACGTTTTGTGTGTTTTGTCAACGAGAAACTGAACTTTCCGTGCATTACAATGTTTTTTCAACTCTCCACACCCCATGATCCCCTTGGGTGAGCCCATGTATATCTATATACCTATGTATATATATATATATATGTAAACAAATAACTATACATATATACATATATGTGTATGGTACGAGGTATCCCCGCCCCTGTGCCTGTAATCTGGCATCTCTAAATTAAGGTGTCCCAAACCATGAATTACACCAGAAAATGTCGTCCTCTAGACGTGGATTAGACCATGAAACCAATAGAGAACCGCGATCTGGAAACCCTTTTGTCTGTCCTGCTTCAAAACGAATATCAAGATACTAGAAACATTTAATCCTAAATTGTACGAGATCATGACGCCATGAACCCATCAATCCACAAAACAATTAGACCATGAAATCATTAAGCCAAAGCTGCCCATGTATGAAAAAAGATTGATTCAAACCTACGGCGTTTTGCCCATGTAGCGCCAGGACTGGTTTAATGGGTTTAGGGCTAGGGTTTACTTGATTTTTTTGACACTGTTTAGGGCTTAGGGTTCAGGGTTCGGGGTTTGCATGCTTTTCCATGGCTAGAATGGTTTAGCGCTTTGCTGGAGTAATGGTTCAACGGAATGATGGCAAAACGGCGTACCAGATTCCATATTCGACAAAGCATTGGTTTAATGGTTCACTGGGTTAATGGTTCCTTGGATAGATTACTGGTCTTATGGTTGAAGCAATGTATTGCTTAGCTTGGAGGTTTTATGGCTAACGATTTCACAGCTTCATGGGTCAACCCAAGTGTCTCACAACATTCCCACGGTTCGAAACACTTGGAATTAGATATGTCTCCCTTGTAGGTATCTTGGCTCAAATGGCGTGCTTCGTTTTCACTGGTATGTCTTTCTTTTGCGTGGCAACACTGCGAGACTACTTTTGAAGGAGGCAAAGCACACAGTCAAAGAGAGTCATCAACAACAAAGTAGGCGGCCTTCCTCCTGGAAGACTACCTCTAAAAGGAGAAGATTGCGTTGAAAAGCGGTCAACTCGGGCACATTCATATTAAGCTGCTGAGAGAATGCACGGGTCATTATAAGGAAGCATGAGAGAAGAGGGATTCCTTTGGTTTCCTGAATGTCTATGATATACAGGAATGCCTATAAAGATGAAGCTCTTGCCAGATTTAAGGCCCTCCTTTATGTTGGTTGTCCTTTGTGTCTATGCAGCCTACATGGAAGAATCTACATAACAGAATCCGAAATAACAAGTTAGAATGAGGGATGTATCTCGCAGGTTGCCTGTCTACAGTGTTATCAGAAGGTGGTACTAAGATATGGGAAGTCTTGGACACGTCAGCAAGAATTTCGCAATATTAGGACAGTTTGGACCATTGAACATCTAGGAAATTGTGATGATATTGCATCCAGAAAGTGTTAAGTATTGAACAAATAGGAATATTGGGAATCTGGAAAACAGACTCTGACCATTAGGCAATGGAAACATCTGGAACTGCTGTGATTATGCAAGGTATGAAGATCCAAGAATCCAAGCCTATGTTGACATTAGTTACAATAGAAAAAGTGTGGATAGTGCAGGGCATGTATGGCATGTTTAGATAAATATAAGAAATATACCGGGCATATGGGAACTATTGAGGTTAGGAGGACTATCAGGACTACGAGGTCTGTTGCAAATGTCAATATTCTCCGCACTGCCAAGTGTGTTTAGATTAAAAGATATTCGTAGGACTTTAGAATTTGTCTCATTCATCATAACCTCTATCAATACTCAATTGAAATATATCAAATTCCAATACCAGGAATGCTAAGACGGCCTAAATCCGCTTCGTGCTCTATATGTCACACTCGAAAAATACCATTGTATTTCAGTGTATTCAGATGGGCTACGAGGATACGTGAACGGCAAGGTTTATGAGCTGCGTTTGGATTTACAAACTTTGGTTGGTTTATGAACCTTCAAGCCTTGTGAGCTTGTAAACCATATGCTTCTTTAGGACTATGACTTGCAAGGTCACGAATGCTGGGGACAGAATGCCCTCCCGCCCATGTACACATGTAGATATAAAGCGTACGTACATAGATGCCCTGCAGGCACCGTATATTTCTAAGTTGCTTACAAAGGCTTGGCAGGGCCCCCACGTTCTGCGAAATGCTCGATGAGGCGAACAATCTGGGGGCAAATGGAACTCCCTTCTGCCACGGCGAAGGCACCTGCAGACATGTGGTCCGGATCATACAAATTCGCTCGCACATTCTCAAGGGTACGCCTCCTCTTGGATTTAGCTGGTCAACCTCCACGAAGTCATTCCTTGGTCCGGGTACGCTGAGGGACATAGAGCAGCATCCACAGCTGCCCGCCCAGAGCCAAGTGTCTGCATGTTCTCCACGATCAAGATGTCACCCCTACCAATCGCCAAGTCTTCGGTGCTGATCAGGTCTTCCCATCCTGCCTGTCAAATGGCAGACAATCCATGCTCGAAACTTCAACAGACCGCCTTGATTACTCCTTTGTTTCAGGTGAAAAGAGGATACACACGTAGCCTCTCCAGCCAGAAGCAAATACTCAGCGAACAGAGGACCTCGATGCATTGAGCAAGACACCCTGCATTTAAACTAAACATATCCCAAAAATCGAACAAGGAATGGTGATTCCAGAAAACAGGATAAGCTCATGGCTTTTGTCTGCATGCATGCGCCAATCATGCGTCATGCTGCACGAAGCAAATTGACGGGAGAGAAGAAAACCCTCTGTCTGCTAGGCTTTTGAGTATGAACTTGGAAGGAGTCGTGTGCGCTTGTTGGCTGTAGGCTGCTGGGAACTCTTGTTTGTGTTCTGCCGAAATCATGCATGTTTGAGCTGAAACATGACGCTCGCAAGGAATGAAAGTCGGATCTTGCTCAATTCAGAAGCTGAATACGCAGCTCCATCAAATTGTACTCCACTACATGGGCAGTTCCTGCCAGAGACAAACCTTTGCAGGAAACTCTGACAATTCGTGCTTGTCTGAGTTTGCACCCTGCGTGAAGTTCACGTGCAAGGCACAGCCTAAAGGTACAGATCTCAAGACGGCACTTTTTTCTGTCAGAGACAACCTCAACAGCTCCATGCGGACAATTGCCGAGGATCAAGGCCAATCAAGCTGTTGCCTCTGTTGCTGGCATTGGTTTCAAACGTCGGAGATGCCAATTGCACCGTCCGAGGAGACCCGCTTGTCTGGCCTGCAGTATCTATAGCTTGCTGACCATCGAAGCGTTTGTTGTTAAAACCTCCGTAGCCTGCGCAACCATGTCGTCCACAATCTTTTTAGCTGGCTCAATCGATTGAACACCTCCGGCAGCTTGGCCTGCCAAACTGTTGATCGCATCGAAAATGCCCTTCCGCTTCTCGCCATCGTCCCTTGACTCCTTCATGTCATGTGTAAGTGGAACGATGCCCTGATCACAGAGGTCTTTGATCCTGGCGGGATCCTCATGCAAACAGTCCATCAACAAGAAGCTGCATGTGCGCTGGGATGGAGCGTTACTAAAAACAAGCAACAGCAGGCAAGTTCTTGTGCACAACACAAGTCCTTCTCCCAGCTGCGGATCCAGTCATTTGGGATCAAACGCAGGGGCCGGCCAGAAAGAACCAAGGTTCGCACAGTGTCCTGCACAGAGTGGAGTTGATTTGTCTATGACACGTGTTGACTTTGCCAATTCATATGACCCCTCCCGAACTCCTGGCTTCCGGATGCTATGACTTTGTCTTTGTGGGCCTGCTCGAAAACAGAAATAGTGCATGTCTTGCTTGCAAAGTTGACCAGGCCTTCGGCCGATGAGGCATTTGTGCATGGAAACAAACAGCAGTCCTTCTATTAGGATCCTTTAGCAGCGTCGCCCACATCTCTTAGCAAGAGGTCTGGAGATTTTCCTCAAGAGGGGAACAAGGCTGAACCTGCTTCAGATCTGTTTGCCTGCGGGGCGGCGGACTCTTCGGCGCAGATGAAACGAGTTCCAACCCAAACGCCAGCAGCGCCGAGTCCCATGGCAGCTGCCAAGCCACGCCCATCAAAAATGCCACCAGCAGCCACACAAACAACGGGACCGCCAAATGCATTTCCTTGATCTAAGCTTGCATGGAAGCCTCACCTTCCTAACACATAAAGGTTCACAATCTTCCCGTCGTGCCTAACCCAATGAACGTGAGATGTATGAACTTGTTAGAATGCTAAACTTTGCAGCAAGGAACTTCGTCCGCGGCATGCATCTACGACTTGGGGGATTAGGCACATGGTGCCTATGTCACCTGTGTGGCCGCCACCTTCTGTGCCCTGAGCGATGATGATGTCCACGCCTGCTTCCAAAGCTTTCTGGGTGTTTCGAACAGAGCCGACCATGTTGGCGATGACAACTCCTCCAGCATGGAGCTTGTCTACCGCCCATTGAGGAGGCACCCCCACGGCACAAATGAAGAGTTTGGCTTTTTCTGCCACGATGATGTCAATCAGTTCTGGCAAGTGGCCATGCGTGTAGTCGTGGTTCGTCTTCCTTGCACTGCCTCCAATCTGTGGAATTGCCAGATCGACTCCAAACGGCAGGGACTTGTCAGCCAATCCATTCTTCAGCCATGTGATCTCCTTTGTGAGGACTTTTGGCGTCATTGTCAGTCCACCAATTGATCCAATTCCGCCTTTGTGGCATGCAGAACAAAATCAGACGTCCATCCACTTATTGCCTACATGGGCCCAGACCCTAAACCCCAAGCAGTAGTGTCCGTTTCATTTTCCAGTTGCTTTTCAATTTGATTCTCCACTATTCTATTATAATATGTAACCCTCCTGTTCACCTTGTTACATTTTATGATACTAAAAATCATAACGGCAAAAATAATGATAACACTACTGCTCATCCTACTTTGGGCCTGCATTGCTCACGGCTGCTGCTAGGTCTGCATGTGAGACTCCGTTCATGCCCGCCAGCATGATGGGATGCTGGATCCCCAGCAGCTCCGTCAAAGGCGTCTTAAGCGCCATGGCGAGGAGATGCCAGAAGCCCAGGTAGGGGGCTAATTAAGCAATTTTATGACACAATCCTACAAAGACACTTGGTCACGCATCATCACACCAAAGTGTAGCAAGACCCTGTTCTGACTGATCATTAGACGCATCTTCGGCTCAAGTGGCTGGCGCAAAAGAATGCGGACCAATAACGCAGAAATGCCGAACCTAGCTGAGACTTGACGCGGCTTTTTGTTGTTCAGGACCCCGTGCAGCCGATGTCTTGCCAGCTCGGGGAACTTGAAATACCTCATCCCCCCCCGGCGATTGCTTTTGGTGCTCAGATGCTGAAATTAAAACTCATGAAGGGACCTCCACAGTGTCCCTAGAGGGAAGCCAACGCTTGGGCCGCCATCTGGTGTCCCTGCGCAGCAGCCAGGCCTCCGGCAGAACAAACTGACAAGAGCAACCGGAAAGAACCTGTGAGGAGCACTTAGCCATCGATGAGCTTCTTCAAGATCTTGCTCGCGTCCAGCTCCACGGAGGAAGGCCATGCCTCACAACAGCTTCGCCCAGGTGTTGGCATGATGCTTGAGCTTGACTTGACCCCTGAGCTAGTTGCCCAGATTACATTGAGCATTTGGCTCGCCACCTGGATGATTACAGAATGGCTGCGCAAGAAAGATTTCGAAGTCTCATACTTTGTTGTCATTCGAGCTGGATGGCCATGGAGCTTCCAGTTTGCCAAGGCTTGAGGCCAACACTTTGGGCAAGCTCTTCCCAAATCTTGGACGCCTCGTCCACCTGTTCCAGCCACCAGGGCTTTGCAATGCATCAATATGCACCAAGAAATACATCAGGCAGAATCTCTCTGTCACACCTCACCACGCTGGGCAAACATTGTGGCCACGTTATTCTTGGCCTGCATGCGCAGCTTGTTGGCTGGGTGGCATCCGATCTACTTCAGGCTGGTCCTCCGCATGTCCCTGTCGAGCGGCAAATTTCAGCCTTGGCATGCTCAAGTGTATGTTGCTGCGGAGCGTCTTCCAAGGACTGCCGAATAAAGCTCAAGGCACAGCTCGCTTTACAACACACTGCTTGGAAAAGCTGGGCCACACTCCACATCTCAGCTTGTCGGAGGTCTTGCCGGAGGCCTCTTCGGGGCCGCAGCTTCCAATGCCACCCAGTTCAAAGGACCAGTCTCGGGGTGCCAGCACCATCGAGGAAAAGCATTCCCAGCGCATATTGGGCCTTGATGCGTTCAGCATCAACAGAAAACAAATGCAGCCGAGGCGTCCAAACGGCTCCTATTTTTCGAGTTTCTAGGTGGGCGGGGCTGGGCTTCAAATCGGCTGGCCTGGGGCAGGTTCCTCCTGGGCGCCAGGCTAAAAAATGTGGATTCGGGCTAAAAAGCCGGGGGGAGGGGGTAGTCTCAGCTACCCTTGCCGAGGCGGTCCAGCGTTAGCGGTTATTAAATGAATCAGTTAATCAGACACGCCTTGGGGAAGCCAGCTTCCGCACTTCGCTGGTACCAGTTGGCCTCAGCTAGTGCGCTTTCTTCATGCCCATAATTCGTCTTCTGTCAGCCAAGACTCCTGCAGCCTCCGACTGATCGACAGGAACGCCCCTGCCCAGGCCTAGACCAACGCACGACTTCCCTTTTTTAAACGCGATCACTGCATATTCGATGCATATTCAACATGCCGGGTCTGCGGTACATCTCGCCCATCATGTAAGCGGCTTCAACCTAGCAGAAGCGTACAAACAAGCGGCGAACCGGGCACAGGGAACCGAGGAGCCCAAGAGGCCTCAAGCTGCTCCGCTGCTCGCCGCAGCCAAACCTTAGTTTCCAGCATTTCCAGGCTTCCAGGCTTCCAGGCTTCCAGGTTTCTTTCCTGCAACTGCTTAGCTCCATGCAGCTGCCTGCGTGTCGTCCTTGCGCACACCATGGCCGTTGGCGTATGCCTCGGCCACCCCTGACTCTTTGGGTAAAACTTCGACACAGGCTGTGGATGAAAATGTCTCGCACATTTTCTTCTTCTTCAAAGACGTTCAATGGATGCCACGCGCTGGCATCGTGGTTCTCGACCTGATGGCGTCCACCGCGCCACACCTGTCTGAGCCTGCGCCTTGTACAGCATCGCCGTCACTGCTTACCAGTCGTAGAAAGCTTGGCAAATCGTCGCGTTGCCTGAGCCAGGATCCCAACCTGAAGTTGTCGACTATCATCTGCCTTACGGCAGCTGCTAGCCTTTGACCTTCTTGTTCAAGAAACGCCCAAGATCTGCCACCAATTGCGGCGGCCATCTTCGTATGTTCTCCACCCATGACAAGTCTTTGTACTGCTGACAACCAAGGTCCGTGTTCTCACAGGCAACGCGCCATTCATTCTCTGCACGGCTGCAATCCCCATCAGACCAGTAGGAAGCAGCAAGGGCAATATGTGCATCCGCAATATTGGGATCTCTGCGGGAAACATCTTCCATAATGGTGACTGCTTCCACCGGCTCGTTCACGCCAAAAAGTGCCAAGGCTTCGTTGCAGCGAGACAGCGCTGCTTGCGTGTACTCGCTATCCTCAAATTCAGCATCGAGCGGAGTCCGACTAATAGGTAAACACACTGAAGCTTGAACCCGCACCCTTTCTGATCACTCTAGTCCTTGATGAAGATATCAGTTGCCTCGCGGTAATCCGCAAGCGCATCTTGGAAACGACCCAGCTGGCTGAACGCGTTGCCCCTGTAGTTCAGAACCAAAGGATTCACTCCCAAGCCCGTCCTCAGCAACAACATCCACTTACTTTCAAAGGCTCCAAACTCTGAGCGTCAGCTGAACTAATGTGAAATCATCATGCCAGCACCTGCTAACCAGCTGCTCAGACGGTGGTCTGGAACGCCAGGTGTCAATGGCTTTCGTGTAGTCCTATCGAGACAGCCCTCTGCTCTAGAAATACACACTGCAACCAGCATCAAGTAGCGATGCATGCTTGGAGCTCCTGCACAGCTGCCTCCCATTGCGCTTTGTCCTTCCGCCCGAATGCAATCTCTTCTCGCGCCAGCGCACGCCGAACGAACACACTGGGATAGTCAAAGGTTCCTTCTGGCAATCTCCAAAACATGCAGGACGCAGGGCAGCTGACGCTTCGCATGCACACGTGCCTGTGGCAGCACCATCCTCTTCCATCAGCTGCACAACATCAGAGTAGTCTTGCACGGCAGCCTCCGCTTTAGCTGGAAGTTGCCCACCCGTGCAGTCGTTTATGGCGATTCGAGCCTGCACGGAACATCTCGATACTACTACTGCCATCTTTGGAAACTCTCATTGTCATGCAACCCTGAATCAATATGAAGACTCGACCCTTCGGGGGCCGAGTTGTTGCATTCAATCTATCCTGCGCGCGAGCCATGCGCAACTCGCCTCGGTCCTGTTCAATGCTGCAGTCCAATTCCATCCACAACTCAATCCAAACCGGTCCTGGCGCGATGCACCAGCAGCGTCAAAGCGGTCAATGACTGTGGTAAATGCCTGCCACATCAAAACAGCTGCTATAGCCCGCCACTCCTCATGCTCATCAACAGGACTCCTCTTTGACTGCACGCAAACCAAACATGCTCTTGCAGAGATGCAGCATTATCACAGCATGCCTCCTCCGCTGCTTCCAGTTCTTCCCGTGCACCAGGCCTGCTGGTGACAAAACCCTCACAAAGCCCCTAAGAATACCAAAGCAAACCTCGCTGTTCACGCTTGGCCTCCGTGGGTCTTGGGCCATGGCCAAGAAGGCACCTCGAAGGAGCTCTGCGTCCTCGGCCGACGGCCCCGCAGCCTCATTGGGAGACGGTGAGATCAAGATCATGATGTGGTTAGCACATGCTGGACAGTGCTGCAACGGCCCTTCCATGCCTGTGAGGGCAGCGGTGCCAAACTTGCCGCCAACACGGCTGATGTCCAGACTCGACGCGGCTGACCAGCTCTGATTTCAGGAACTGGCACCACTCTCATCTGGATGAATCCAAGCGTGCTCGCCGCGTGACTAGCAGCATAAGCAACTAAGCCAACACGAAGCCACAGCTGCATCCATCGACGCACACATGGTGCACGACCCATACTGCACAGCTGCAACGTGCTGCACGTGCAACTTGAAACACATATGCTCTGCTGCTCTGCTGCTGCAGTCACAATGCTCGGGCGTTGTCAACCTCAACCCATCTTAAATCCTCACCTCACTCTCTGAGCCACGCTTGCTCCAGATATTCACCGGACCCGGATTCCCACCAGACTTTCGCTCCACCTTCGAAATACAAGAGAGCGCTCTAGGCCTGCCACGACCGCCAAATTTTTCTGGGCCATGGCGAAGCCCGCTTCTGCGGCTTCTCTGAGCCAGTGCACGGACCTAGGCTCTTGCATAACCACCAAGAAGCACACCACAACATCACAACCAGACCTCTGCAGTTGGTCACCTCCGGCTGCAGCATCGTAAAGGCGGCGATACATTAACCTCCAAAGTCAACAGACAAGTAATCCTCAAAGCAAAGCCTGTATCATGTAAACAGAAAGCTTTCGGATGTAAGTACGTGCAAGTCATGAAACCCCAGATTGTTCTGCGCGAAGTGGTGCCCAGCGGCTGCACTGCGCTCGTACAACTCCTGGGCCTCAAACGCAGCTACAGCTCTTTTCCCCTCAACCTCATGGTGCAAAGTGCAGCTTCCCCATATATCAAGCTCCAAAGTATCAAGCTCCAAAGTACGCATGTTGAGTGACCTTCGCAGAGTCCAGCTTGCGACCAGATAGACCATGCCTTGTTGTTGCGACAAGAGACAAAGGTCAGCAGTAACCATCAGAAGCTGGGATTGCAGCTCGTAGTTTTGAGCAAGGTTGTACAAGGCGCTTGGATCACCTTCAGCCTGAATCCGAAGGAATCAATGCACAGACTACACGCACTCTGCCCACTGACGGCCCTACGGCAAGTGGGTCATACCACGGTGTCGTTCCGTCGCAAACAGCCTGTCGAGGCAATGATGTTGGGACAAAACAAAGGCATCATCTTCTGCCTGCAGTGAGTCTTTAATCCAGAAGACAAGGCTGTAGCGGGCCCCCTTCCAGACGTGAACCTAAGGCAACTTGCATGCTCAATGGAGCCGACATGAGCCGACTGCAAATGCTGCTTGTTCTGGCAGAATGCAGAACTGGACGGAGGGACAAGTCTGGTCTTTCAGGTTTCACTCTCCAGGCTGAGGGCCCAACCCCATGCTGCAAATCAAATGAATGCACCTCAACCGAGCATCTCCAATACCCTCCCAGTCGGAACGAAGAACCAAAGCTCTGAGGCCGAGACCAGCATGTCTCCTGGCTCTATGCGGAAGTACATGCGTGATGCCACATGAGCATCAGGCTGGATGTACAGACCACCCTGGCAAACATACGCAGCGCAGCAGGCAACAGTGACAAATAATCCAGGTTGAGCCTGGTAGCTGTCTGGGTCAGAAAGACCCAACACAGCTGTCACATAAGCATGGCCATCGAAATGAACGGCATGGGTTCGACGCTCCCCGGGCAGGTAGCGTCCTCAAGGGCTCGATCCGGTCGAAGGCTTGGCACACGCATCTCCGTACAACTCAGGCCCAAGCTAACCAAGATATCGGACAAAGCACAGAAACGGCAACCATAGCCTCGATATAGGCGGCAGAACGAACATGGGCCTGCAGTAGCAAATGTAGTCGGGCAGCGGTGCCGCACATAGGGGAGGAGCCGCTCTTCGATCATTGCTTCCAGGAGGCCCCTGCAGCCAATCACTTTTTGAAGCTACAGACATGGTGTTCGTCCTCAGTCCTCATGCCGTGATCAGCCCATGCTCCATCTCGAAACCTGACCAACCAACTAGCCCGGTCTCAGCACTTGCCCTGCAGGCATTGTGGCGAAGCAGGCTTATTCGAAGCCATCTTAGCATCAGGCGCATAGAATTCAAAGCTTGGCGTTTTGTCCACGGAGTCTGGATCAACAGAAAACCATTCCGCCTGCTTCTTGCAGTGCCTTGGATTTGAAATCCGAGCAGCCCGCAGCCCCGTGACCGAATGCGCGGCTGGTGAAAGCATCAGCTGAGCGGATGGCTCCAAAACGGCTTCTGTCACTTCCCGAAATAATCCAGGGAGTCTGTAGAAGTGGCATTCCTGAATTTCTGATTCAAGGATTCAAAGATACAGACGTTTAAAGAACATGGATTTCAGGTGCCGGACTCCAAAGCAGCTAGCCTTCTGCAAGCTGCCAGATTGCTCTGTTCCACTCCAGTTCCCAACCTGATGCGGACCCTTTCAGCTGTGAAGCCGTTGCGCATCATAGGCAAATCACGCCTGGAGCAGTTCCTTCTTCTTGAACTCATACCTCACCCTTAGAGCTTTCGCAAGGCAGAGGTAAGCATCTGTCTACGGCCATACGCAAACAGCGCAACGAACTACAATGACTATAAAGACCCTCACGGAGGTGCCGTCCAAAAGTGACCAGCTGCCTATCAAAGGGCAGCATGTTACGAACGAGCCGGACCTGGATTTGATCGGCCTTCTTCTTGGGCTTGGATGCTGGCCCTGGCCAGGAGGACTGCTAGGCATGACCAGCACTTTGTTACAGACCATGCCAAATATGAACCTCGAGCACCAGACGAGTGGACCTGACGATCTCGACTGTCCACCTGGCAAACTGGAACAGTAGCTTATGAAGAAGCTGCATTCTAGCAGGAAAGCAAGTTATCTCAACCGTTCGTTCGATGCACAGCTGCGGGATGTACAACAGTGCCAGGCAACGTTCAAATTTGCCGCCGCCGAGGTCTCACCTGAAGGCTTTTATAAGTTCTTCCGAGATCTGTCATGGAGACTGTCTCTATTGACTCGGTGTGTTGCATAAGAACATCAAGATTTGTTCGGAGGCTCAGGATTGTGACCACGCTGGGGTCCTTGGAATGACGACCCTGTGTTCCAGGATGGTTGCTGAACAAACACGCTTATTCCCGTATCAATGCCAAAGCTGCCCCGACAATCACTGCCATGATGGTAAACCCAGTCGTGCTTGAGACACTTGGAAGGAATGGAGTCTGCACACCAGGCTCTGACAAGCTCCTTCTGCAAAACATTCTAAGAATATTGACATTATGCTCTCAGCCAACGCTTGCACAAGCACATCTGCTCAATGAACGCAGCTTTCGTTTTTCAACGCTTCCACCATACTGAAACGATTTTCCAACCCTGCCTGTTCGCCTTGGTGGCTTGCACAGGAAGCCACGCTCGAATCCAGAATGCCCTGCCAAACACAGCTGATATGGATTCTAATCACAACTGAACAAACTGATAAAGCAAACATCATCGGCGATGTGTTTAAGTGCGCATGACCTTTCGGTTGCCTTTGGTCTGGTAAAGTGCTCACCTTCGCCAAGAACCAGAATCCGGAAAGGACCAGGGCGCACGGTTTGGCTCCAAAAACCCTGCCTGCGAAACTGGTTGCGTTGGGCCTGATTCTTCTACCAATTCCCATGGGAACCTGCAAACATATATGTTGTGAAACCTATGTGCCGAGCAAAAATCAGGTCGATATCCCTTCGAGGAATCCAACTGCAACAGGTGCATGCAACAACAATCCCAGGCCTGAGAAGAGGATTTCCGGGAAGAAGAAAATCAAAATGAAAATCGAAGGGCCTTTGTGTTCGATGATGCTCTACCAATGCACGAGCGACATTGCAACCTTGGGGGAACAGACAGCTCCGAGTGACCCACTGCACAAGTTTCCGTGCTGCAGTCATGAGCGGTACGAAAAAGTTCACATGTTTACAGCCATATTGTCGAAATTTTCGCCCATCCTATCGGTGAGCACAAGTCTTCCCGTGATGTTTCCATGATGGTGTGCCTTCATGTTGGCAAAGTTGGCAGGCCAGCTAATGACTGAAACATGCATATTCCTCCGCACCTGTGGATGTCAAGGTTGTCAGCATGCAAACAAATAAAATGTTCAACGAATGTTTTTTAAGTTCTGGTACGACACGAGAAAGCAAGGCTTCGTCCCATTTTTTGGACAACTTTGCATGATGTGGTAATGTTGGGATTGGAAGTTTCTCTGAAACATGCCGCTGGCCTTTCTGTCGTTTCCTGGTAAGAATTCCAGACCGAAACACACTTGATTGCGCAACAGGAACCCCATGGAAACCCCGCTTTGGTACGTGTGTTCTGCGTGGCACGCTGCTAAACTGACATGAGGCTTCATCTTTGGTTCAGCCCGGAAAAAAAATCATCAAAATTCGTGAGTTTAGATGCCAATCAGCAACATTTTTCGAAATGTCACGCTCAGTATGCGAAAAGGAGCCGACACACGTCAACACACGTGTTTTCGCCCGTGCACACCTGTTGGCTTGTTCTTCTGAAGGCTTGATGGCTCTTTTGACGCCTCGTCCAGCTGCCGGGCATCCAAAACACAGGAAATGTGGGGTTCTGTGGGCCCTACTGCTTGCAGTGGCGGACTTCCAAGTGAATCATCTTAGTACCTTGGTACGTAAACATAATCCACGACAAAACATTTGCAATGTGGTGTACTTAAGATCTTCCAGGACTGTTAGTGGTTCAAACATTGATGGCGTCAGACATCCAAGGCCTAGGACATGCAAGCAACGGCCAAAGGCCAACAACGAACGGAGTTACATCAAGATTCGGTTACAACTGGAAGGCAGGGTACGCGGTCACACTAAACCATGAGCAGTCCACATAAGCTTATGGATGATTGATTATTGACCAATGACTATTGGTTATTGCGTATTGAATATTGGTTTGCAAAAAGTGCTTACCAACGAGTCCAACATGTTCGTGGAGTGCAAATCAATATGTCCAGCAATTGAGCGAGCAAGCCCGGGTACACAAGCATCTATGGGAACACAATCCGTTGTTTATGTATGTACGTCCACCGGGGGAATTATGTAAATCTCAAATTTGCTTAACCCTCAAAAGTTGGTAAGCTCAAGCTTATGTGCAAACCATTTCATGGTTCATCTTATTCTTAAGTGATGGGTTCCGTCAAAGATACGGGGTCAGCAAGTCCGTCGAGTTGTACTTCAATTTTTGGATGCGCATCACTCAGACAATTACAATTTTCCCGAATGCTCCGCAAAGGGGCTACCATTTCGCCTTGAATGTTGGTGACCAAAATTCGTTGCGTTTGCGCTCGCAAAGCGTTCGCGAGGATTGCGGTGCGGCAGGATCTCTAGTGCCCCAACCGGACCCCCAACGACCATCTGCGTAACTGTCGTCACTTTTGCACCCTTGTGTTCTCGACGCGTCAACTATCAATGGTCACGAGGATGGAGGCGCCGAAAGTCGCAATCCTTGTTATTGTAATCGTTTCTGGTCCTTGGTGTCTTTTTCGTGTCAAACGTGTCAATGCCCAAAACGATGAAGCATCTGGGGGTCGCCATCTGGTACTTGTCGTCGCATTCCCACATCACAATTGTCAACAACGTCGTGTAATGAAGCCTGCAGGGTCGCCATTACCACAATTATTGTCTTCTCTTTTAGACAATCGTGTCGTCGTCGCGTGTCAACAAAAGGAATGGTCACAAGTATGGGACCTGGGGGTTGCCATCCGCCTAATGGCTGTCGCTTCTGGCGCTTTCGCTCGAGACATCCTCAACATTTTGCATTTTTCGGACTTTATGAATTATCAAAAATTGCGCTCCCGCGCGAGACAATTTCGTTTTTTTTGAGCCTCTGAACATCTTCGTTTCTTCTAAAATTGCGCTCTCGCTCGAGACATCCACAAAAAAAAAAACGTTTTTTTATCGATGATGGATCCAACAGAGAGGCGAGATCGCCTTTAAAGTAGTCTTGCTAAGGGGGGGTCGATATCAAAGTAATCGCGCGCCGATTTTCAACAATCGCGCTCCCGCGCGAGACATCCTCAAAATTCTGGTTTTTGCGTTTTCAAAAATTGCGCTCCTGCGCGAGACAATTCCATTTTTTTGACGTATTGATCATTTTCGTATCTTCAAAAATCGCGCTCTCGCTCGAGACATCCTCGAAATTTGGTCGACTTATCTTCATCTAAATCGGTCAAAATTGCGCTCCTGTGCGGAGCATGCGGCAAATTTTGATGATTTATCTTCAAAAATCGCTCTCCCGCTCGAAGCATGCTCAAAATTTCGTCGATTTATTTTCTCAAGAGTGAAGTTCTTGGGGGAGCGTTTTGGTATAGGATTGGTATAGGATTCGTCGGATTCATCGTTTGAATTTTGATCGTTTAAGGAACAGTTTCTATACCAATTCTATGCCAAACTGCTTCGCTCAAGGTCGTCCTCTTTTAACCAAAATCGCGCTCCCGCGCGAAGCATCTTGAAAATTTTGAAGAAAATCGCGCCCCCGCGCGAAGCATCCTGAAAATGTTGATTAAAATCGCGCTCCCGTGCGGAGCATCCTAAAAATTTTGATTAAAAACCGCGCTCCCGTGCGGAGCATCCTCAAAATTTTGATGAAAATCGCGCTCCCGTGCGGAGAATCCTCAAAATTGCGTCGTTATTTCTTTCAAAATCGCGCTCCCGGCGGAGCATCCTCAAAATTTTGAAGAAAATCGCGCTCCCGTGCGAAGCATCCTCAAAATTTCATTGACTCTTCGCTCAAAGTCGCGCTCCCGTGCGGAACATCCTGAAAATTCTCGAAGAAAATCGCGCTCCCGTGCGGAGCATCTTCAAAATTTGATTGAGTCTTCGTTCAGATCGCGTTCCCGTGCGAAGGATCCTCAAAATTTCATTGACTCTTCGTTCAAAATCGCGCTCCCGTGCGGAGCATCTTCAAAATTTGATTGAGTCTTCGTTCAGATCGCGCTCCCGTGCGGAGCATCCTCGAAATTTGGTCGATTCCTCATTACATATGTATGACTACATATACATACATCCATATATACATACATAATCATACACACATACACACATACATACATACATACATACATACATATCCTTTTGCAGGCAGGATAAGGTTCAAAATTTATGTGTCAGCTTGCTAGTATCAACCTCATCATTCATCGGTAGGTGAAGAATTGCAGAACAGCTCTGCCAGGAGAAAGCTATAAACGCCGCTCCTCAATTTTTACCTGGTGATGAAACTCTGCCACGTAAACCTCTTTTTAAGTGATAAGGTTGATGGCCAGTAGAAATTTTTCCGGAATAGCCCTACAGGACACTCGCTTTAGTGCCTGGTCTGCTATAGTCCTGCGACTTTGATACTGAGCCACGCCGACTAAGTACACCATCAATGGACCAATGAAGCTCCAGCACTAACAAAGAAAGAGCTCCCTCAACCCAGCGATGCGTGCATTGCAGTGGGCATGCAGGAACACCACCCCCCTGAACGGAGAGCAGCAGTCCCCCGAAGAGCCCTCGCCGGCCAACTTTCAAGTCAAGGCAAGGCTTGTCTCACACAGCCTCCTGTCGATTCTCTCCTCTTCTTCTTGGGAGGTTTTTTGGCCAGCTCTTCGTGGTGTCGGGGTGGCCCCTACTACCCCTATTAAGACCCAGGCAGGTAGACTCCCAATAGTTGCTTTGCATTGCACTGGCCAGGACTTCAAGTACAAAGTGATAAAAGCCGTCAGAAATGCCCGAAACCACACATATTAATATTTTCGGAAACAATAAAAACTATAAGCTCACCGTTTGAACCCCAAGAAATTCGAGCTCAATGTAAATGCCTTCCGTTTGTAATTTATTTTCTAAATATTTGCTTGTATTTCTGTACTAGTACATTTTCCGGTTCATGAGAGAGCGCGCCGTCACGCATAAAACTCCTCAAACATCGTGAGAGCGCGCACCGTGACGCCCGAAACTCCTCAAACATCATGAGAGAGCTCACCGTGACGCCCCAAACTCCTTAAACATCATGAGAGAGCGCACCGTGACGCACAAAACTCCTTACACATCATATGAGATCACCGTGATGCCCAAAACTCCTCACTCAAACATCATGAGAGAGCGCACCGTGAAACTCCTCAAACATTCTGAGGGAGCGCGCCGGGACGCCCAAAACTCCTCAAACATCATGAGAGAGCGCACCGCGACTGAGCCTCTAGAATTTCCCGAGAAGTTCATCCCCAGACTCAGACGGGAGGGAAATCTAAGAAGGCCGGAAATTGGTTCCGTTTTCAGTTACCTCTAAGACAGAAATCGTCGTTTTCTGAGCCCCTAGACTCTGTCCCGAGAAATGCATCCCCATACGGGAGGCTCGCTGAGAGTGGGTAGTGCGTTGCAGCTTCTTCATGGCTTGTCTTTGCGACGCTGCCAATTCTGGACTGCTACGCGCACATTGCCGATGAGGTGCTGCGGTGTCTTCTTGCCCCCTGAGCATCCGACATCGATTACAATCAATATGGGTATATTGTTCTGATATTGACTTTTTTCGTGGCGAGCAAAATCAATAATGACATCAGCGCAAATTTCTTGATTTCTTAATTGATTTTTTATTGATTTTATTTTGCTCTGTTTGTTGATTTCCTAACTGATTGTTTATTGATTTTCTTATTGATTTTGGAAGTGCATTTCTTGTGACCATGGAATGCAGCTTTTCCAGCATATAGCTATGTATAGGCGCAGGAACCAGAAACCATGGCACCACAAGGTCTGGGAAAAGGGTGAGTGTCCATAGCCTTGGGAAAGGCTTATGAAGAGCGT